CTTTTTAAAGTTACGTAACAAGAATATAGTACATACCTAGATACTGTCCTTATTAACAAGGCCTTTATTTCTAAGCACTTAATTTGAATTAGAAAACGACTGACGATTGCTAATGCACAATGATGAATGTACAATGATCAATGATTGATGTATAATGCAATGATCGCTAATGTACAATGTATAGGTTTAATAAGGAATTATATATAGTTCATTCTAGTTTGTGATATAAAATCCTATGCAGAAAAAAAAAAGTACATAGATTTATGTAATGATAAATTTGCTCAGTTATCTTAAATGCTATCAAATTCCTAAATGCTAATTCTAGAGGACAATAACTTTTTTAAATGCTACTGAAACTAAGAAAACTGAAAACATAAGACAGGTGCTAAATAGACTGAATTTTGAATAAAACAAGTAGTCAAATTGAAGAAGTTTCTTTTGTAAAAAATATCTTGAGGATCTTGAATTATTGATTGAAATCCAGTGAAACAGAGAATCGACTATAACAACGTTTTGTAAATCTTGACTTAGTTTGTGAGCAAAATATATTATTTCTAAAGGATTTATAATAACCATATTATAAAAATATATATAAAATTACTGAAATTCCTGTAAAAATAGTTAATCAAATGTTTAAAGAAACTTTAAAGTTTCTCAATAAGTGCAATATGTTCAATATTTACGTCACATGGAGACATTTCGTTTCATGACAATCGCCGCGGAGAAAATTGCTGACCTTCAACTTCATCTTCCTCTTCAAAGCAAATATTTTTTTGGGGGTGGGGGGCGGAGAGAGGGTTGGGTAAATCAGAATTGATGAGCTAAGACCGTAGAAGCCTAAATCACATCCTTTGCGTGTTCACCTGAGATTGTCAGGCTAAATTTTCAGGCTATAAAAGTTGTAAATGCGTATTCACATAATGATTTGTGAACACAAGAATGAAGAATATTTTTACTTTTATATTTCATATTTCTGAATTAACTAATTTTGCTGAAAAACTAAGAAGGAAATTTAAGCATTAAAAAACTGTAAATGAGTAGAATATTAATGGTACTTAGAGTAGTTAATAGAATTTTGAACTTGCACAATCAAAGATCATTGATTAATTAATATCTTTTCCAAAGTTTTATTGGTAATTTTTCATGACAAACGCAATCTAAAAAATATTAGAAAACGGAAGATGAGTAACTACCTCTATTAAAATTCTTTCCTTAATTATCAGATTCTAAAATTAATTTCTTTCACCTTTGTTAATCTGATGTTCTTTTAATAAAAATTCAATATTGCTTTGTTTCAGTTTATTCGTCTTCTTAGTCTCATTAACGTTGTCATGCACAGCGTATAGTTAATCGTTTGGATGTCGATTTGTTAGTTATGACGAAACAAGTCAGCTAGCAAATATTTCCGTAGAGGGTTGAAATTCTGTCAACTGTTAAAAGCAGCATTAATTTTCTATATATTTTCAGTTTTTAAAGGCTCAAGTTTCTTTTTACTTTTCGAGCAAAAATTTATTAGTTAAATCAGAAATATGAAATATATAAAAATATAGTCCTCTTTTTTGAGTTCACAAATCATTATGCGAATATGCATTTACAACTTTTAAAACCTGAAAAGTGCATATCTGTGCTGATTTGCACGTGCTTTATTTTTTAACAAGATATTTTCGATGAAAATGTTTTTAAACTGTGAAGTTCTTGAACCGCTTTATTTTTGACGGCGATGTTTTCTATCTCTATGTTTTAGAGCTGCGATGTTTTTGCTTTGCTTTCTTTTCTCCCACATTGTTTTGTACAACGACTTTTTCCCATTGCCTTGTTTTTCATCGCGACGTTTTTGTCTGCGATATTTTTAGCGGACTCCCAGGAGTGACATCAAATTTGTCTTTTTTGATGAATCCTGGCTCTGCGTGTATTATAATCATGGAAGTATCAATGTATGGAGGCACAGAGAAGAAGGAACGTTGCCATCTCGCATTCATCATCGTCATACGTGCCCAGAACCTGGCGAGCTGGTATGGGGTCCATTGGGTACACATCCGGGTCATCTCTTGTTCGCATAGTCTGTAATGTGGACAGCCGCCGTTACATATCTAAAATGTTAAGACCCATGGTTTAGCCCTTTCTTCGAGACCTGCGCGACGCCATCTTTCAACACGATAGTGCATGACCGCATGCTGCTCTGACCTCTTTCGATACAAATGGAGTTCCACTGTTGTCCGGGCCACATGTACTCCAGATCTCTCACCCAGTGAGAGCATCTGGTCATGGGTTGCCGAGAGATTGGTAAGCCCTCACTTACCAACCATTATGACTGACGAATTCTGGGATAGAGTTGAAGCCGCACGGAATGAAGTACCTGGATCTATCATACAAGCTCAATTCGACTCAATGCCCAGCCGAATTATAGCCGAATTATAGCAGCAACATATAATATTATATGTTGCTGATAGAACTGGCAGCTCTGTGTACTGAATTCTGCATGCTGTGTATCCCAAATCGCTTGCATGTTTAATGTCTTCCTCCCATTTTACTGTATACTATGTACAATAAATAAGATTCTGTTAGCTGCTTTCCTTCCTGGTGTAGAACTTTTAATGGCCAGAAGTATAATAAAATTACTTTAGTGCTGCTTTCTAATCTCTAAATACCTATGAATCATAAGGACATAGACATAAAGGGTGTCCCAAAATTGAATTTGGCGCCATTTTTGCATTAAGTTGTTTTGCATTAAGTTAGTGAAAATAGAGCGTTATACGATACAACAACGTGTCTTCATTATTGAACAATATTTTAAAAATAATGAAAATTTGGCGGCCGCAGTTCGAAAATTTTATACAAAATATGGTAAAAATAGTGTTTTAACCTCATCAACTGTAAAAAGATTAATTGAAAATATCGTGGAGACTGGATCAGTTGGAGACGCTAAACACAGCGATCGTCCAAAAACAAGCCGTTCAAATTTCAATACTGAAGCAGTGCCGTGAGAGTGGTGTAAACCCAGGAACATCAATTCGGCGTCGTGGACAAGAATTGCAAATTTCAAGAAGCTCTCTACAGCGTATACTCACAAAAGATCTGTGTCTTCATACTTACAAAATTCAATTAACACAGCTGAAGCCTAATGACCTCGAACAGTGAAGAGAGTTCATGGAATGGATCATCAAAAAGTGGATGCTGGTTTTTCGAGCAAAATAATCCTAAGCGATGAAGCACATTTTCACCTCGATGGCTTTGTTAATCGCCAAAATTGCCGTGTTTGGGGTTCGGAGAACCCACGTGTGATTAGCGAAAAACAAATGCACCCACAACGTGTCACTGTTTAGTGCGGATTTTGGGCAGGAGGGCATCATCGGACCATACGTTTTTGAGAGGCTGGTCAAGCAGCAACTGTTAATGGTGCTCGATATCGCGACATGATAACAAAGTTCTTTCTGCCGAAATTGGATGATATTGATGTGGCCAATATGTGGCTTCAACAAGACGATGTCACATGCCATACAGCCAATGCAACATTTCAATTACTACATGAGACATTTCCTGATCGTGTAATCTCTCGTTTCAGGGATCAGAATTGGCCCCCTAGATCATGTGATTTAACACCATTAGATTTCTTCCTATGGGGTTATTTGAAGTCAAGGGTCTATGTCAACAATCCCACAACCACACGTGCATTACAAAAGGAAATTAAACGCTGCATCAACGAAATTCAGCCACAATTATGCAGAAAGGTCACGAAAAATTTCGATGAAAGGGTGCGTATGTGCCAGCAAAGCCGTGGAGGTCATTTGCCCGATGTGTTATTCCATAAATAACCCTCATCCTATGTACTTTATGATTCACTTAAAAATAAATATCTAAAGACTAAAAACTCTCTTTTATATTGAATTCAAATCTTGCGTTAATTTTGAGGCACCCTTTATAAAGATTAGAATCCAAGATGCAGTAGTATGTTATTATGAACTGTAGGAAAATGATAATTTCGTAGCAGCATTTTTGCAAATATATAAAAATTCCTTTTGTACACATTTCAAAACATGCGTATTTTATTTTTATTTTAGTTTATTAATTGTACAAACTGCTTTAAAAGTATGTAAATGCACGTTTTTGCTTGATTACATCTTAAAACTCAATACATATAATACATAATTTTACATAATATAACTTGATTAATAATTTTTAAACTTTTTTACACAAAATTAAAGGTTTGAATGTGAAGATTCTGCGTTATTTATATATGCATTTGACATGTGTTATTTGTTAATGCAATATTTTTTAAAAAACTGCTTTAATAAGTATTGATAAGATTTAAACTAATTATCAAAACTATTAACCTTTTAAAGCTTTTTTCCATACATATCGATGGTTACAACTTTTCTCCATAAATCTTCATAGATGATCTGTTTCATTTTTCCGCAGCAATTGTTTAAGGTATTACTAGTCTGTTAATTTCATACCAGGAAAGACGACCTTTATATTATTATAAATTTTTGTTAAATTTGAAAATGTAGTATTTTCAGTAAAGAGTAAATACATTTCAACCGAACAATGAAAAGGTCGTAATAAATTTCAGAAACCTGAGTTTATTGAAAAATATTAGAAAAGATATTGACATTATACATGACGAATATTCATAATTATCATAACGAAAATAGTAATGCGTTATCTGAAACATTTTAAACCGTTTCATAAAATGTAAAAATTTATTGCTGAACTTGTAAAAATATTAAAACTATATTTACTATGTTCTAAAGAACGCAAATCACGTCTAGAAGCTAGTGAAGTATTGTAGTCACGTTACACTTCTTATCTTTATTGTTTAATATTTTGTGTTCTGTTTGTTTAAATAATGCGGAGTTCGTCAAAATGAATTTTCTATTGCTAAACTGTAAAACAGAATAATATATTATACAAATAAGGTAACTATTATAAAGTAGAACTAATTTGTCGTGCCTTTAAACAGCTTTGCCATTTAACACATAAGAACAAACATTTTAGTTTACCTGTTCTTCAGGATCATCATATTCCACCACTCGAATTACGTCACCAATTTCGAAAGATAGTTCATCGATATCTTCTCCAGTATATTTATATGTAGCACGAACCTAAAATGAGTCAAGATGAAACAAATTCCAAGTAATTAAACAATCAACAAGTATTAAAAACTGTCACTGATTAATATCATAAAAATTAGGAAAAGTTGTATATTTAATCACACATAAAACTCAGCATTGGTCGGCTCTACGTTTTTTGCGGCTTCTAAATTTTGCCACTCGGTGTTTCCTTAATTCTAAAAATGGTTAGCTCCTAAATTCGGCCACCCGGTATAGCTGGCGCCGGCTCTGCAGGATGGCAGTAGCAGCTTATTTATTGCTATCAATAAATCGAAGGTTAAGGTCTGTCATTCCTCGATGTGCAAGAACAGCAACTGGAAAAAATGAACTTATGCTGCCAGAAATGAATCCTTTTAATGATCAAGATATTTATTTATAATGTAATTAAGATGGTTATAAATGATTATTGGATCTAATGGTTATACTTATCCTTGATAAAGGGGGGGATGCATAGGTGAAAAGAACCATCTTTCAAGTATTTAAATTACGTGTAGAATTTGGGCACCATTCTTTGCATGGCATACGTCTAGATGATATTTTAATTCTTGCGACACCCTAATCGAAATAGCCGGTGCAATGAATTCCACGGCAACTGTGATTTCCATGCGCATCGCAAGCTATTTGCTGCTGCCGCCGCCTAGCTCCACAAAACGGAATCTACGCTGTCGTGTATCGGCATGCTTCCCCACTCTATTGATAGGTTATTTCGTTAACCCTTTCCGGCACGCTACCTTTTAAAGTTGAAGTTTTGATTTTTAAAAAAAAAAAAAAAAAAAAAGTTGGCAGTCTAATTAGCCATAGAAGAGTACACAAGTAAAATTTTGTGAAGATAGCACTTATCGTTTAATTCTGTGGGTGTGCCCAAAGTGGGCACACTGATTGAAGACAGCTTCGAAAAGAGTGCTGAAACGAGCATTGTTGTCAATAAACTGACCGATGAGATGCGGAGAAACAAAGAATATAGACTCTCAGTTGTCCTAGATTATCGGTGAGCCCGGTCTGGGCACACCTAGGGTTCGCCGTTTGATTTTAGGCAAGATTTCAAGGTAAAAATTTAAAACTAATATAGAATAAGGAGATTAGCATACAGCCAAAAAATAGTATAGAAATTTCTTTTCAAACAATTCCTTTTATACCCTAAAAAAATCTGGAAGGTTTCTTTGAAAAATGAGGGTCTTAAAAAACTAAACATGGCTAAAATATATGGACTGGCTTGTGTTGAGCTGCCATCTACTATAAATAAAGAAAGTTCAGAGTAACCTATAAATCCCTTTTCATTCAATTTTTCTGTGCGTACAGAAGGAAATTTTTAGGTGTGTCCAGACCGGACACGCTGTGCCGCAAAGGGTTAACGTGAAACCCCGGTAAGCGTTTACTAATGTTTTGAAAGACAGGATGGTCCATATTGTTGGTATAAAAACTTACCTGCTATTATAAAAAGACTGCGTATCACATTGAATATATTTTTTTTCATATTTTTTCGATTAAATATCCTCAGAAACACATTTTTTCCTTAATTTGGATTTTACAATTGTTGAAACATTTTGTACATTTTTTGAAAAATTTAACTGTGAGGTGTGATAATAAACCAATTTCAAATTTTATGACATCCATATGTTATTGTAAGTGATTAGATATATAAGAAAGCACAAGCAAGACGTGCAATGAAGTATACAAAGAGCATGTCACTTATGAAATACATTTCATTATTCAAAAGCTTAAAAAAGAGATATTGCTCTGAAAAGTGGAATACCGTATAAAACAAATTTTAAATATATGAAAATTGATAGTTTTATAAATTCGTTCCTTAAATTTATATAATTTTACTGGGCTTATGTTTTAAATCATCTATAAAAAACTTAAATTTTCAAATAAATTTTCTCATGCATTTACGAATCCAACTTACTAATAAATAAATTCGATTAAATTTCTAAACATTAAATTATGGTTGTATTTATTCATATTTTTTTTATTTTACTTTGCTGAACGCAGTTAGCAGTTATTGTTGGTTTTCAGTTGTTGATGCTGGCTCACAAACTGCTAATTATAAATGAATTAAATTAATCCTTGATTATCAACATAAAGCTTGATGAAAAGATATGAAATCTAATTAAATTCATAAATTTAACATAACTCGGGGGAAGGGAAGCATCACGAATGTTTTGTGCAGTGCTGGAACCTCCATCTATAACTTTTTTCTGTTTCGGGGGGGGGAGAGTTACACAGAGAAACTATTTCACAATGTAAGCACGTAATGTATTGTAATTAACAATATTCTTATTTTATACATTATATTTTAACACTATGTTGAGTCATTAGGTTATTTTAAAGCAGGAATGGCGAAAAATGAGCAATGCCCTCGCCGGGACTCGAACCTGAAACTCTCGAATACGCGCCGAGTGTGCTACCGCTACACCACGAAGGCATGCAGAAAGGAGGGAGAAAATATACACTTCCCCTGACTAGGGATTAGGAGGCCCAATCGCCAAATCCTGGTGGTGAAGAATCATCATCCACCACCTTTAATTCGGGCGCTACTATGTATAGTCATTAGTTTATTTTAAAGCAGGAAAGGAGAAAATGAGCAATGCCCTCTCCGGGACTCGAACCTGGAGCCAAGCGCGCCGAGCGTGCTACCGTTACACCATGAAGGCATGCAGAAAGGAGGGAGAAAATACCTTATAACTACTAAAAAAATATCTCCTTTTTGAAAAAGGTAGATGAAATCTTCTTTTTGAGTCTCATAATTAGAATTGTTTTTACTGTGTCGTTTTCTGCATTTTTATTTTAATTCTTGGCTTTCTTTTACTCATTAAATTTTATTTTCATGAATACATTCTGATAGAGATTTTACACTATGGATAAAATATAAAAGTATGCGACACTGAAATCATTCACACCCACATGTAATACAGGTTCATAATTCTGCAGATGCTTAAGATTACAAGAAGATAGTTAGTTGAAAAGATAAATATGAAGGAAATTATATTCATGTTCAAAAATGAAGCAACAAAGTGAAAAAGAAAAGTAATTATTTGACTTCATTAAAATTTCACAGATCGTACTATATAATAAAAAGGATCAGCATGGAGAAATGCAAAGAAACAGACAGACAAATGATTAAAAAATACTAGTAAACAAAGGTACAGGATATTTGGTGGCAAAACATTTCTCGAGTGCAGGTATGTCAGTAAGGCAAGTGATAATCTCTACTGGAAACACATGCCCAAAAGCATCATTTCATACCAAGTATAAGATCATGTACGGAGGTTTAAGGCATTTTATGCCCATTCAAGGGTCAAACTGATCCTTAGCTCGTAAAAGCTCCACGAAAATAAATTAAACGCCTTCTAATTATGTTCCTTACATGCTTGATGGCATTCTACAAGAAAAAATGCTTCCGATTTTATGTACTGGCTTACAATAATGCCAACCGATGAACTCGCATGTTGTGGTCCATAAAAATATCACCAAGACCCAGCGCAGCAAGAATGGAGTAACATATTGGACAAGGATGTGATTTCTATACCGAAATGTGGTTACAGTGCGTCGAAAGATGGTGTGGAGATCAAAGTGCAGTATTTCCCACACAAATCGTCAAACCATAAAGTATTTTTCCAACCTTCTTAGCATGTCTTCGTGGTGTAGTGGTCAGCACGCTCGACACGTATTCGAGGGGTCCGTGGTTTGAGTCCCGGCGAGGGCATTGCTCATTTTTCATCTCTCTTGCTTCGAAAAAAAAACCTAATGTCTCTACAAAACTTCCATTTGTATACGTGTATTTCGCAAATGCTATTAGCGTCACAGCAAGTTCCAGGGCAGTAAGCCATGTCAGCAAGCGTCGAAAAACAGTCTATAGACCAATCCATAACTTAGGCGAAGAGAGCATAGTATTCAAATGTTCTAGAATCCAGTTAAAGGGATTTGGAGATTATTATAAGCGCACGCGTCTGTGCGTGAGTATCAGTGCGATGCAAACCGCTACTAATCTTGTATACAGTTATTCTGCATATCGCTGTCTGTAAAGAGTTTGTGGAGATATAACTCTTTTTGTTGACGCTGCAAGGTCAGAGGCAAGTTAACGTGTAGTGACGAACCTGTGACGGCGTGCCTGGGGATACAGAAAATGATCATCCTGAGAGATAGTGACATTTAGATGTCCATTTACTGGCCTTTGCAATACAGTTGTTCCTCTCTGCACAGGTTCCACAGGCGGCAAATTACGGAGCGTTTCTCATCTAGGCTTGGGTTATCTTTCAACTGTTTGTCTTTCGTATTTTTTGGGACACCTTGTTAGCTTCCCTCACCTGAACTCACTCAGATGACTTTAGGTGAGGATGATTCAATTTTCAGACTTTGATTATTTCGATTTTCTTTCTGAAATCTGCAACGCAGAAATACAAGCTCGACACAAAATAGACCATATTCATACCTAATAGGCTCCCTCGTTGGAAAAAAAAAATGGTAAAGAACATTCGTTTTGCTTCGTAGATATATTATTCATGCAAAATTTTGTGGAAACCTGTTGTTACTTTCGACAAATATGCTAATTCATCCGTTTGCTGTTGAGTGTTTGGACTCAAGTGTATTAATAATTGAATCTTTTTGAATTCAGAAGGTGCACCCATTTTTAATTCATTAATTTCCGTTTGAAACTTCTTCACACAGCACATATTTTTGATAATTTAGTTTTTATTTGCATTTATCATGAAAACTGAGCTGGGCATTTTTGACATACCTTCGGAACATTTAGAGAAGACGTCGTGAAAAGGTACCATTGAGGAAATGAAAGTATACGCACATTTCCAAAAGTAGATTGATATACACCTAATTCCATTTTTAATTCCATTATTTTTATATTGATATACACCAAATTCCATTTTTTTTTAACACAGCTGTGTCGAGATGGGGAAAGGTGAGGTATCTGCCTCACATAAAAAATGAAAAAGACAAAACTTATAATATAACAACAAATTAAACGTTTGTGTGAAAGTGCTGAAAATATTCATTTCGCGTAATTTTGACATTTGCATCAGACATCAAAATAAATCCGTTTGGCCCTTACACATGCACAGCTTATCATAAAAATATTTTGACATAGTGTTGTTTAATGGATCTAAAAAAGAAGCCTGTCGGAATGGATGCCAAACAAAAGTACGAGTAACGTGGTGAACATTTTAATTTCATGATTATGGTCTGAAAAATTATGCTAGGAAAAAATAGGTTTTTAACCTTACGATATTAAAAAACTGTTTATTTTTATCATTCAGGGATAAAAACATACCCTGTATAAAACTCCAGCTGGCAGGTCTGTAGTTGTAGCTCCAACAGGGATATCATACAGTTCATCGAGCTTTTGTGTATCTTTATGATCTTGGTTCATTTCATTTACCTATAAAAATAGCGCTGGTTTTAAAAACCTATTTTCCAAATATGCTTTAAATAATGAAATGTAATTAATTATTACACTAATTTATAATCTGATTTCATCATTGGATACGGTACTTGCCTCAACTGGTTCATAATCTTTTTCTAATTTTGGTGGTTTTCTCATCTGGTCCAAAGTAGAACTGTCCGTATTTAAGGCATTTGTTTGTGACACTGTAAGAGATATTTCTCGCATTTTGTGCTCTAAAAATTGAAGATATAAACAAGGAAAAATTCATGCTTGATTAAGAAACCTTTAGTACCAAGAACTTAATAAATACTTCTTAATTAAAGTACTATTTAATATTATAGGTAATATGTTAGAGTCAAACAAAAAATGCATTAAGCAGAAGTTAAATGAGATATTCCCCAAAAAGGAAAATATGCTAAATCATAACTTAAATAATAGAAAAAATTCTACATTATTTGCCATTAATTTTAATACAAAAGCGGCTGAATGCATTAGAATATAGAATTTTATGAGTTATTAAAGTTAAATTTGGCTACATTCATTGCATTTCACACACTAAAATCATAAGTTTTAGAAAATCTAGTTAATATGTTATTAGGTTTTGTGAGAATGAAGCACTACGAAAATGCATAAAAAATATAACTAAAAAATATTTCATTCATTGTGAAGATAGCAATCAAACAGTACACTGGAAGATCGTTATAGCGACTTCTTGCGTCCTTATAAAAAGGACGTTATTATAAGTGCTGTAATGAAAATGACTTTTTGCAGTGACCGTTGTAATGGAACGGTCTCTACAATGAGCAGTCGTTAAAACGGGCGTTGATTGTATTTTAAAATTGACTATATCGAGTTCTACTTGATACAAGTTTTCCATTTTTGAACAATGATTTCTTTGTGATGAGATGCTGTATTGACTAATTATAATAATCTAAATTAAACCTATATATGTTATGAAATAAATTTCACAGAACAGTCTTAAGTTTTGGACGCAATGTAGGGTAGATTTGAAAAATTTTATACTCGCGATATTTAATTAAAAAAAAACCAAAATTATTTCGAATTACTAATAACGCATACTAAAACATAACATGCTACTTGGCTATGCTAACTAACGTAAATGCTAAATTATCATTTATAGCAAAGCTCTAATTGAATAGGTTTGTGTGTATGTTTATTGCAGTTATTTTCTGCTGGACATATACTTTGACATCCCTTTTTTTTGATGCTTGCTCACAAGGCAAAAAGGGAAAATAATATTAAAAAGAGATAAGTAATGGACTCTTTTACAAATTATTTCAGGTTTATACTTACAAATTAAATAGAACCGTGGTTTGAATCAACGTTTTCTTGTGAACTTAAAGTCAAGGAGAAATTATACATCGGACAATCTTTTCTCATATAAGGAGTTTTTTCAGTGTAATTTCGTTTTCGGAGACTTTTGTGATTAATATATGAATATATTACTATGAAATTCGAAATTATATAAAATTGGCGGAAGAATAACTTCATATTTCATAAAATCAAGTTTGAAGTTTTTGGTAATTTTTCAAAATTAAATTTGGCAGTATTTTAATTTTTCTCACTTTACGCTGTGTGAAACAATAATGCATTTTGTCTCGGCGTCTTATTTTTAAATTTTCAACAGCTATAGCATCGAACGTTATTGATGTAAATTGCTTTTTCCTTGGTAAAAGATAATGAAGAGTGCTGTTATATAAAGCTTTATTTATTTATTTATTTATTTATTTTTTTCGGAGAATCCGTTATCAAAATAATACTTACATCAACCAAATTTTAGAGCGAAACATATAAGAAAGTATATTCAAATATACAAATAATATCAAATGATCTTCCATTAAAAGAAAAGAAATTAAGCGAACCTGATTTCGGCAATGTATTTGAAGAGATTATTTCTCCATTGGATAAGTTTTGCCCTGACATTCTTCCTTGGTTTTTCTTAAATTCAATTTCTTCATAATGCCTTGTATCACCTTCACTGAAATATGAATTTAGAATAATAGTTTTTTGTCATTAAACCCTATTACAAAAGTTTATAAAACTAAGAGAAAATTCAAGAACGCTTTAAGCATTTGAAATGGCTGAACAAGTATATTTACGGAAAAATATTTATTTGGTTTACACTGAAAAATATTTATTTGATTTACATTAGTTACATGGATTTGGATCCAAAATTCACTAAAAAATAATGAAAGTATTCTACGTTATATTTTATGTTTAAGAATCAATAAAAGGATTATAGAAAAAACTTTACATGAGAGAGTGAATTAGATGGAAATGAATTTTATTATGAGTTCATGATATAAAACTACATTAGAATTATACCTGAATTTCCGTGCAAAAGGTATAAAACATAAAATTCAAAATACATAAAATGTCAAAGTTTGTTTATTCTAGGTATTAATTAAAAAACTACATTTGATTAAGATAAATTGGCTTGTCAGTTCTATATATAATAAGCAGTTATTATACTTTAATCATCAAGAAATGTATACAGTTATGGTGTATGTATCATGACTTTAAATAAATTGATAACTTAATAAATATGCCGCATGAAGACACTTTGATATCACCACAAGAGTATTTAATCTATTACGGTAATATGAATGGTTCTTACTCTACATTCAGTCAATATTTTCAAATATAGCATTATTATAATATGACCTCTGAGAACGTTTATATGCCTTTAAATCTGACAAAATCTTGCCCACAAGTGACCGAGTGGAGAAGATTGCTTAAAACTGGTAGTTCCACCCTAGTTGGCTGCATATGTAATGTGAATTCACATAAGTTTCTCTTAGACAAATCCCCCAAGAAGACATTCTTACCCTGGCAGTTAATCCTTGTACACTTTGCCTTAATCAGCCAACGAAAATTATCCTCATATAACTGAAGTAATACAAAGAAATGCAGAACAGGTAGGAATGCACTTAAGCATGTTAAAAAAAATAAAATGATATCAAAGTCAGTAATATTATAGGAAGAAGATTTGATAAAAATGCACTTCGAAAATTTGAACTGCTTTTTAAGTATTTTAAACTGCGTTCGCGAAAAAACAAATTAACAAGAAAGGGTAAAACAAATTTGTATAATATTATGTAATTACGGAGAAAACTATGACACTGGCTTGCAGCTCACAGTACTTGCTAATGCTAGTTTGTAGCGCCATATAAAATCTTATACGCTACCTAAACGCACCGATGGCTCATTTATAAACTTACAAAATAATACTGCTATTGCGTACAAGATTATCAAAATAATTCTTCGGCTTGGCTTTATTAGATTATTGTGAAGCTCACTATTTCGATTTGCATAAGAGAAGGGATAACTTCGTGGAATACTTTCTAAAGCAATATGATTAATATTCATAATATACTCGGGAAAATGCCCACACAGCCAAACAGTTCGCCAGATCGAAATACCAGTATTCATCGAACTTATTTGCTCAGCTGCTGGTCGGCTAAGGAAATCTTTGGTTGAAGTACGCAATCATTAATATCATTAATTGAACCTGACTTTCCTCATCATAATCATCATTTTCATAGTAAGATCATTATTATTATTTTGCATAAAGAGTGCTGTTTTAAAATTATATATTTTCATTCATTTGATATATGTTACAACGAGTACCATTCATTGCTGCAAAGTTAAAATATGAGCGGGACAAAGATAAATAGCCAGGAATTCTAATGCTCTTATGAAGGATTCAAGATTTTTAAAGTCACTAACACGAGTTATTGGTAGGGACGTCCCCTGTTGACAATAATATTAAAAATTAATAAAAGAAAGTCTGAACTAACCTTTTCAGTATAAGAGGCGATCCAGGTTTTCTCGTTCGGTATTTTCCCTTCTGATTCTCTAACGAGAGGTTTTCCACAACTTCGGTGAGTTGGTTGAATATTTTGGCATTTTCATTGTGAAACTGTGTTTCAGATGTGAACATTGTTTGCAGATTGGTAACCAGGAAAGATATCCGGCTATTAAAAAAATCATAATTGATCGGAAAATGAAAGACTATATATAATGTATATACTTGTGTACAAAATTAAGAGAATTTGTGGTATATTATGTCGATTTCTGAAGAACTAATGGACAGATTTTAATGAAATTTGATATGAATATATTTATAACACAGAAAAAAGATGTACCATTCAAAGGTATGTACGCATGATTATCAGTAAAGCTCACAGAGTAGGGATATTTAAAATCCATGTTGTGATATCAAACTAAAATGAGTCTAATATGGAGTATGGTCTCCTCTCAGAGTAAGAAAGGTTGCGCAGAGTGACGGCACACTGTACAGGAGGCAGTTGATGATTCCCTGCGGTAGACGATCCCAATCCTGCAGCAAGACGGTTTTCAATTCCGGGGTGGTTCTTGGAGGGGAATGGCGTCTAGACATGATCTAGAGCGTCATAGACATGATCTCTACGGCTAGGGCCAAGAAGATCTGGTTAGCCAATACATGCGGCGAATATTCTCACTGGTAATCGTCGACCAGCTAAGCCCTATGTGGACCAGCGTTGCCTTCCATTAACAGGGACCCAGGACTAACTGGGCCTTGAAAAGTCGAACAAAGTCTCCTATCTATACCTCATACCAGTCAGAAAACCTTTGTCAAACACATGCAGGGGTGTGCTGCCATCCAATATTTTGCCTTCCCAAACCATACACCTCCACCACTGTAATGATCCTTTTCCCTGATGAGGAAGGAATGGCATCATATTCCAGGCTCTCTCCAGATACAGGTACGCTGAGGCTGAATTTCCACTCATCTATAAAAAGTACGGTTTTCCACTGAAGTCTGGTCACGTGCATGTTGCCTGTACCATGCTAAACGCTCTCTCTTGCTTGATGCATTGAGCAGGAGGCAAAACAAAGGGACTTTTAGCCTACAGTCTTATCTTCAGATAGCTGCAGACCGTGAAACTCAGATTCCACTGGCAGCATGTAGCTGACGTGTGAGCTGTGAAGCTATAGCTGTCTTGTCTTATGCCGCGGCGACGAAATTGCTAAATATCGATCCTCAGTCGTCGTTGTGGATCTCGGTCGACCTTGTCTAGGTCTTCTCGATATGGATCCAGGGTTCTGAAACTGTTTGCACAAACTGCAGATAACAATGAACGCTGTGTTCAGCTCTGTAGCTACCTGTACTTGCCTACCTCCAAACTATCGAAAATTTTCCATCTCATTCCGTCCCCATATGTTCGTGGCTACTCATTTTACCTGCTATCTTAAAAAATTTACCCATTTCTTGCGAGAAACAAGGAACACGAGCACGCAAATTGCTGAAACATCTTGTGCCCTTATATCCCCTCCAGAATCATAGCTCCACAGACACGCAAGTGTACGCTTACGTATTCGACTCTGAATATTTGCATAATTCTTCGGCGGTATCGTTAGAACCTTTGGCTCAACTCTTTTTTCTAAAAATAAATTCAATTTTCAAATTCTCTTAATTTTGCACACAAGTGTATATATCTATACACACACACAAACACACACACACACACACACACATATATATATATTTAATAACCTAATTTAAAAATCTGATCAAACATTCGAAATTTCAGCTTGAAAAATCTAGCGCAAAATATAGCTGAGATTGAAAAAATTTTATTTTTCAAAAAATAATGATTATTCTATTTTATCTACGTTTTTAGTTGTTTTTGAAATGTAAATGCTGCAGTTTAATTTTTAGAGGTCTTAATTCGCATTGGAGTACTGTATAGCACAAAATTTATATCATCTGAAGAATTATCTAATCTTTGCCACATGTTCTATTCAAATACTATAGCAAATCTAAAACGATGTATAAAAGAAATTTAAAAAAAAATTAGTTTTTTACAGACGATTCAATATTTTGCATTCAATTAATTCAGTTCTTACTTCGCGACAAGGCAAAAATACACAAAAGCTCAAAATATCGATATTAAAAATTACAAAGTAAATCTTAAACAGGTATTTTCTCGAATGAATTCCAGAATGGATTTAGCAATAATAAAAGAATAATTTTAATGCGCAATAATAAAAGAAGACGTTACCTTTGTTGATGCGAAGCTTAGTTTCTCTAGATTGGCAACAAATCCACATTCTACTAAGTTTCAAACGTTAACAAATATGGCTACTGTAGTAAAAATAATTAGGCTTAGCCGCACTTAAACAATTTTGTATATATATTTTTAATATTATTAATAATTCCTTAATTATTCGTATTTAATACAAAATTATTTTAAAATTATTTTATTGGTTTTATTAAAATATTTAAAAATTTTATGATTTTATTTTGTGTATTTTTAACTTTTATTTTAATTTCTTTTTTATTTGTTAAATATTTTTATTAGTTTCATCAGTCCTGTTCACACGCATTTCATAGTTTCCCTGATAGAATAATCATTGATTTTTGAAAAATTATACATATACATATATATATATATAAATTACTAAATATGAACTGAATATCTAAACTTTACAATACAAAATTCTCATAGGAACTAAACTGACTCATTTTTTAGATGTATAGATATTACAGCTTTTGGGCTTTTCAACACTGCACTAAGAGCTCTGTAAAACACGCTCACTCCCTGGGACAGGAGTTTTATCTAAGGCAAAAATCAATGACATCAACTCGCTGAGCTGAGAACCATGTACGCAACAAGAGCATACTCATGAGAATAAGTCGCATTCTCCAGTATTGTACAATCATTCTTTAGGGAAATTATTTAGTAGGGCTAGAAGCAGATCCTAGTATTGGTGCTAGAAGGCAACCAAAGCCAGAAGTGAAACCTAGCATTAAATTTTTGAGTCTCCGAGTAGGCTGTATTTTATTCTCAAGGATTACATAGGTGGTCGGCATTGTGCATTAATAACTTTCACACAACGAACTACAGTTACTACAAACCTCAATACTAGATGAAACCATCGAATTACAGTATCTAAACCAGCTCACCCAGTGGTTTCCCCCATATGACTATGGACGAAGTCAGAAGACAATATAATCATTCCTATTCTGGTCACCACTAAAGCTGAAATGAATTCCCTTCGCCCTATTTTCCTTGTATAAATGAGCATCGCCATCTATTACTGTGGCTGATAGCAATTTGTTGAGAACGCTTTTGTTTTTTCTACCGACAAAAGACGCCATTTGCGGTTTTATGTTTTACTCCTAGGTGCCAGCGAAATTCGACCTGACGTTGCTCTTAGCTCGCAGATAAATTTTCTTTTTGATCAAACCTAAAGCTCATTCTGTGCTGAGGCGTCAAAGCTATCGGAATCTTTCATGGAGAGCGATGTCATTTTTTTCACCACGTAAGTTTGCTGTCTTGCGAGAAACAGTAACTTATCGCAATTAAAATGAAGAGTAGCTCCATGCTTCTTCTCATCGATCATTTTCGATTAACACATAACTTCAGAGGAGGGACAAGATGGCGTTAAATCCTGACTGGAGGCATAAATTTTGTGATATTAGTATGCAAAGAATTCAAAATTCTCATAAGGAACATGCTTATATTAGGAAGACTAACTATTTTCACCGCCTTAACTTTCCGCCACAGCGACAGCATCCACATTGGTCTTATTATTGTGAAACACATAAAATATTATACATTAACGATGAGTGCGGCAATAATAAGTAAACTTCAGCCACAGATAAATTAAAATCAATACTAGTAACTAAAAATAAAATTTTTATGCTTACCTATCATACAAAGCTGGTAATTCGTCATGAAGCTCATTATTGATAACTTCATATAATTTTCGTGCTTCGTCTAACCTTTCTTTCGCCTAAGAAAGACGTGCATTTATTTAAACTTAAGATTATGTAGCCTGAATTCTCATTCTTTATATTTTGTCTCCAACATTAAGAAAAGCACACTTAATCAATAATGCATTGTATAAGTTCAGATCAGAAATTACAGTTTAGAATATATAATTTAAATTATCTTGGCTGCATCGTAAAACAGGATTCGATTATGTATCATTAGACAGAAAAAAAAATAACACAAATAAAGTAATACAACACAAATAAAGGTAATTAGAATAGGCGATAAAACTTTAAAACACCCGTGCTACAAAAATGGATACTTCTGCTCCTGAAGCTAGTCTGATAATTTATTTTATCTTATTTTATGGCTCTTGAATTAATTCAAGAACAAGGCAAGACTGAAAAGTTTACGAAGTTGAAAGTTAGAACAACAAATGTGAAGTAAAAAAAAAAAAAAAAATTACAACACCCCCCTGTTTTTTTTTCCTTATGAAGGGCACTAGCCATTCTAGGCTTTGGCCACTTATAAGGCCAGAAGCGGTGGTCATTTTATTATGAAGACACCTAATAGGCGGCCATGGTCACCTCCTATGAAGAGACAGACAATTTACATCTATGCCTTCTACGGGATTCGAAACCGGTACAACAGTCAGTATCATTAAACAATTTTCTACCTGGGCAGCTTACAACAAAATGCAGTATAAAAATTTAGAATTTGCGTTATAACTTGTGCAGGATATTTTCTTTGGTTGCAATAAATGAATGAACCGCAAAACATGTGGGGTAAAATCAAGGTAGGAAAAATTAAAGAAAGCTTTTTACCAATGTCCTCCGTAATGAAGGGGGGGAAAGCATGTAAAGTCCTCACCCAGCCTTTATTTTCAGAATCGTCGACTGAAACCGTTCCAGTTACAGACCATTTTTTCTAGACATATGCTTACAAATACATTAAATTACCCAAATATTCCTTTTTTGGTATTTTTAAATTAAATAAAATTAGTAAATGTTACGAAATAAATCTTTTTACACTTTCTCTCGGTTCCTATACTTCTTATTTATGAAAATGTTATTGTTATTATAAAAATTAAAATGAAAAACAACTATAACTCCCGTATGACAAAAATTGACTGAGGTATTTAGTTTTAAAGCTGGGCATCTTATTCAGGGCTCGTACACAAATTAAAGAGTGAAGATTTTGTTTTTGTACTTATCTAAAAAATTAAATACCATTTAGGAAGAGATTTCGCCTGTTAACAGATTAAGCGACGAGCATTTCCATGCAAATTATCTTAGAAAGAATTGATCAATATAATGTTTTTCAAAAGAGAAATCTTATTCACGGTATCTTACAGAATTCGTGTTATAGAAAACACTGGTAGGCTTCAGTACTGTCATATATATTGCTAAACTCGTAACCTAATTTTAATCAATTAAAAATTAAAAATATTTTCAGTTTAATGAATGACAACTGCATGAGACTAATAAAAATGTATTCCTAATATTACAAAATATATAAAATAGAACTGCGAAAATTCTTTCGGCATACCAGCCATAACAAAATTATAAACTAAAGAACACAAGTAAGTAAATAAAAATATAACTGAACGGCATTTAAGGGAAAAAATCAGACTTGAGTTATTTTAATTTATTTACTAATCGACCCTTAAAGGCATATTGAAAATGATGTGAAAAATTGCAAGCTTTGAAATTAATTATGTCTTTCAAAGTTTGACATACTGGAGTCAAACGTTTTGTGTTTCATTTTTTATAATGAGTATAACAGTTTCCTGAGCATAAATATACGGACCGAGTGAACGTATAAAAGGTTAGCTTCCGTATTTTATACAATTTTTTTTTCATTGTAAGGTTTCCTACGTTATCTAACAGTTAATTTTTAGTTAAAGTTACTTTCCTGTCCATTCTTAATTTCAGCTTACAACTTCTGGCCAGAACGTATTTTCAGAATCGCTGTCAAATGCGAATGAGGGGAAGAAGTATTTAACATTGAAGTTCTACTTTCTTTTCTTTTCACCATCGACGGAACAGCTGGCCCACTGGGTTAGGTGCTTTTCAGCCTGTTGGATCCCGTCGATGGAATTTTAAAAATACATGAATAAATATAAATAAAGAGCTTAGTACTGTGTCCTCCGGGGATTGGCCACGAAACGAGGAACATTGAAGTGAAGACCAGAACATAGAAAGAAGGTGCATGGTGCATGCTGAGACTAAGCGGAACACATTTCACTATTATCGTACATGTTCGGCATACAGTTATATTAAGGATGTGCTATAAAAATCAGGTACAGATGTAAAGATGACCAAATACATTACAAATTGTGGAATACATTAAATGAGTTCTGGATTAGTCATGATATTAAATATAATTAAAAACAGCAAAACAAACAAACAAACAAACAAACAAACAAACAAACAAAAAAACACAAGACATTAAGTAAATCAATATATGTACAGATCAGGCTGTTGACGGCATGGTATCCAAGGAAAGAAGTCACTCCAGATTGTCAGCAATGCTTTTAGCAATGGTAGTGCAGTCTCTAATGCATTTTTATTCGCATATTTATTCTTAATTGTGTTCTTGAACCATGCTGGCATATTGATTGCAGTTGGTCTTTTCAAATGTGAATTTCCCGTGTGCGAGCAGTCAAACAGATAGTGATCTGGGTCACCAGTACTGCCACAAATACATTGGTCACTCTCTCTTAGGCTAAATCTGTGAAGATAGGACATATAGAGGCCATGCCCTGTCAAATACTGTGTGAGGTGCGAAGAACTGCTATTTAAATTGTGGTTAACTTTTGGTTGGAAATCATACAGTCTTCTGCCTGTGGTGCTTGTCTCCCAGTAGTTTTGCCACTGCTTCATTAGTCACATTTGAGAGTAGTTTTCAGATACGAGTGCGGAAGGGGCACACCAGTGCTACTCACGTGGGGTTCATTGGCCGCGCCCTTCGCAATCATATCCGCTACTTCATTCCCTTTAATCCGCGTATGGGCTGGAACCCATTGTAGCTGGGGCCTCAGACTTGCAGGAATTGAAATTAATAGTTTTTGTATGTCTCTGACAATGGGATGTCTACTGCGGCCGCCTTGGATGGCCTGCAAGCTTGACATTGAGTCTGTGTAAATTACTTTATACCTGCTATTGTTAGCAGTAAAGTCCAGAGCTGCCTTTAGGGCTGTAAGTTCTGCCTGAAACACCGAGTTACTGGGATGAAGCTTCTTAGCCCAGGAACGGATTATGTGGTCACCCTCCATTGCACACCAGGCACTGCCAGTCCCGAGTTCTCCTTATGAGCCATCAGTATATACGGCTAAGGATTGTAATGCACTTGGAGGATTACAGTTTGCTTCTATATCGAAGTCTGCAGGGTGGCAAGGAGAGTGGGCAATGTGATTCTCGTAGACCGAGAATACATAGGTCTTACTCCAAATAGTAACGTCTTGTTTTAGTCTGATCACTCTCACCACAAGACTCTCGCTCTGTACTATCAAGTGCAGGGGCGGAAGCCCAGCCAATACGTTTAATGCAGTTGTAGGAGAGGTACGGAATCCTCTGCAGATGCCCAGAAGAAATGGTCTTTGCGCGGAGTTCAATGCATGTTGCATGTTAATCGTGACATTGACGCCCCATATGGAAACGCCATGAAGAGCTATGCGCTCAGCGACTGTGACATACCATATTTTGAGCATCTGTGAGGAGACACCCCAGTTAGCAGCAGCTGTTCTCCGCATTGTATTAGACAGTTTATGTAACCTTTCTTTAAGATCCTTGATGTGAGGGAGCCAGGAGAATCTGTCGTCTTTAATCACACCCAAGTAGCGGAAATGTCTCACGAATTGTATGTTTCTGCCATGAAGGTTTACGCACGGGGTACGCTCGTGCCTTTTTCCTGGGCTAATTAGCATTCCTTTGGTTTTTGCTCTTGAAATTGTGAGCTTATGTTCACTGGCCCAGCGGACTATTTTGTCTAACGCTTTTTGGGAATTTATCTCGTAACTGTTACGGCTGTGACCGTTTGAAATTAGCAAGAAGTCGTCAGCATACGCTATTATTTCTGATGTTTCATCATCATCAAACAGGTTGAGCGCGGTGTTTGCTACCAGGTTCCACAGAAGTGGACATAGGCAGGAGCCCTGCGGGCAGCCTTTCGTCACCTTTTGCATGTGGACACCTCCGTCCGTTGTAGCTTGAATTCGTCTTTCACTCAGGTAGCTGTAGATCAAATCAAATATAGTTTTGGAACAATTAATATCTTTGAGACATTTCAAATTATCATGCCACCACAACGAATCGAAGGCACCTTGAATGTCTATACTGATGACAACAGTATGCAGTTTATTCTGCTTGTTTCTAAGTACCGTGTTCCGTAGGTGATTCAGTGCGTGATCCACTGACTTTCCTGCTATAAAGCCATATTGCCTAGTATTGAGTTTATTAGCATGAATGTAAAAATTCAGTCTTTGAAGTATTATTCTTTCGAGGATTTTTCCTATGGCTGGGAGTAGGCCTATAAGAAGCAGCCTCGTTTGGATCTTTATTTCCCTTTAGGAAGAGGGCAACTTCTGCTATTTTTGTGCCTTCTGGAAAGTGGCGAATTCTCCAGCATGCCTGTAAATAGGAGAAAAGTATTGCCGGATGCGTGTTATGCATAGTTCTGAGAATGCCGTTGTCAAGCCCACCCGGACCTAGAACTTTACTAGGATTGAGCTTCTTGATTACGTCACTCAGTTCCTTGCTTGTTGGAAGAGGCTCAGAATCAGGAATCGACGAAGTATAATATTGTTCAATACTAGTTCGTATTTTCTTCTGCGCTGCAGTATCTTTGTGGGGATCATCACGCTGGAAAATCGTTTCTAGTATATGTGTCACTATCTGGGAACTAGTGTTGGTATTCTGACAGATTGACGTAGTTAGGCTAGTAGGTTTGAAAACCTTATCATGAGCAATTTTGAATAGTCTACCAAATTTTTCTGTTGCGTTCGTACAATATTTCTGCCAA